GTTTCCTCAAGTAAGAGTTATTGCAACTTGAGCGCATATGGAGTAAGCGTCGTTGCACCATGACGGAGTCGTTGCACCATGGGGGAATAGTTGCACCATTTAGCTTCCCAGAGTAGGAGAACTTGCACCCAGGGGCCGATTGTACTGCAGTGCCCTCTATATTAATTTTAAAGTGTTCCAGAGTTGTCCCAGAATTCCCTGCATACTAAAGTACGATATTTTCTAGTGGTGGGCAATTTTATTTTTTCTTTTTTTTTCTTTTTTTCTTTTTTACTTAGGTAGGTATTTATTTTTTTATTTATCTATTTTATTTATTTTTTTTTACTTATCTATTTTTTTACTTATTTATTTTTTTTTACTTATTTATTTTTTTTACTTATTTATTTTTTTTACTTATTTATTTTTTTTACGTATTTTTTTTATGTATCTATTTTTACTTATTTATTTTTTTATTTTTTGTAACGTGATTCAATTCCCTCATGTTCTTTCAAATGCTTACATCGGCCCTTTATCGGCCCAAACTAAACCGAGGGGGGGGGGGGGGGGGGTCCGTAAGATCTAAAAATTTTGGAAATTGGAAATACAATGAAGTGCTGATGTGAGGTAAGTAAACAAAACTCATAGTTCCGAGCGATTTCCAGTGGTTTACGTAGTTACACATAATTTTTGAAATTATTTAACCCCAAGGGGCTTAAAAGCTAAAAATTTTGAAAAGGCATAGCTAAACCTACTATATAAGTGTGACATGTCTAAAAATTCCTCCCAACGACGGCTTTAACGTGGCCAAACTGCATACTGAAAATTTTGAACTCCAGTGTCCCTAATGGGAGGGGGGGCGGGCTAAGGGCTCAATATTTTTGAAAATCGAAAAATTCAAAAACGTGTAAGTGAGGCGTGTCCAAGGACTCAAAGTACCGAACGTAGTTGCACAGGTAAGATGGGTACAAATGATTTTCAAAATTGACTGCCCCCGAGCGGTTTGATGCCCCAAAATTTTGAGAAATCACAGCTAACCCTACTACATAAGTGTGACATGTCAAAAAATTCAGCCAAACAACGGCTTTAACGTGGCTAAAATGGTTACTGAAAAGTTTGAACTCCAGTATGCCTAATTGGAGGGGGGGGGGCCTAAGAGCTTAACATTTTTGAAAATCGAAAAACTCACAAACATGTAAATGAGGCGCGTCGGAAGACTCCGAGTGCACAGTTTTAGCGTAGGCTTTTTAACATTAAGCTCTTAGTCTCTAAATGTAGCAACACCCCTAGGTTTTTTCAATTTGCGCAACCGACGTTGCAAAATTTACCTCGAATTGGTAACAAAATACTTTCGTCTTTGCCGCCAGACCGTTTATCCTCCTTCAATCTCGGCAACTATTGGACCGATTTACCTCGGATTCTCGCAAATGAAAGCTTTAGGTCTCTAAATGCACCAACACCCCTCGGTTTTTTGATTTGCGAAGCGACGTTGCAAAATTTACCTCGAGTTGTTAACGAAATATGTTCGTCTCTCCGATCGCTAAGAGATTGTCCTCCTTCAATTAATTTGACCTTTACTAAGGGTCCAAAGAGCGCTGCGGTCGGAAGCGATTCGATTCTGATCGGCGGATCCCGGTCCACGAGGTAGGGTCTTTCTTCTTTGCGAGATCTTTAAAGTTTTTCATGGAGCTCTATCCTTCGATGTGGGTATGAAAATATCCGAAAATATCTCTGCATGTCCAAATATCCAGGCAATATCTAACGCTGCCGCGCCACGGCCTTTGATTTTGCGTCGGGACCGCTTTTTTATAGGCAACCTTACATACTTCCTTTTTTTTTTGTAAGTAACTACAACAACATTTTCAGATCAATAAAAAAATCACTTGACATTCTCCCCTAAAATTAACGGTTTCAAAGAAGAATGATCAGAAAGTTCGTTGATGATAACAATTTTGTCGCCGCTCTTTTTAAGTCCTGAAATTTTGGTTACAAGAATATTTTTAATTAGATTTTTCCGTAAGTGGTCACTACCAAATTTCCCGCTCTTTAAGGAGATTTACAGACATTTTCCTCTTTAATCAATGGTTTAGAAGAAAAAGGATAAGCAAGGCGCTCATCGTAGAAATTTTTTCCGCAGTTTTCTTCACACCACAAATTTTTTTTATAATTTTTCTCTAAAAATCGATAGCTTTTAAGGGTCAAAATCGAAAGTTCGCCAAACGAGCTGAAACCAAGCATGTTCGCTTGAAAATGACCCGCTGAGTGCGATTTTCCGGTCGGAAAAGCTCCTCGAGTCCGCTGCTTGGCTCTATCTCCGAAAAACGCCTGGCAAAAACGGTGAAAAACGTGCAAGAAACACTCGTTTCAGACCAGTTTTCCGCTGATTCTCGGCTCAGGAAGCCCCGCAGAGCCGCGGGATTGTGCGCAACCGATCCAGCACTTAGGATCCGACTGAAATCTCGGACTTTTTTCTCTGGACGAGAATCAAGAAAAATTGACAGGAGTTACATGGACTAAATTTTAAGGGTCAAAATCGAATGTTCGCCAAGCTGAAAACAAGCATGTTCGCTTGCAAATGACCCGCTGAGTGCGATTTACCGGTCGGGAAAGCTCCTCGAGTCCGCTGCTTGGCGCTATCCACGAAATACGCCTGGCAGAAACGGTGAAAAAGTTAGAAGCTAAAAAGTTGGAAAAATTCGATTTTGAGTTGGGCCCAGAAGCGACGGTTGATCATATTCAAGTATGTTACGTGTCTAGGTGTCCTTGACACCATATTCGAAGCTCATCATTCGTCTCCTTTGAGCCCAGGTCGAAATCTGAGGTAGAACCGCGAAAAACGCGAAATTTCAGCTATTTTCGCCTTCGGTGCCATGTTTAGGCCCCTGTTTCGCAGCCAAAAAACGTGAGTAGGTATCGGCAAAACTCGATTATTTCTGTCAAATATGCACCGTCAACTGCCGTATATCCAAAAATTTCTCAATTCCGTGGAGTGGCCGATTTCGGCCCAAGTCGCAACCCCTCCTTTGACACTTCTTTAAAGATATTTTAGAATATTTTCTTCTGAAATCAACGGTGTATTAGAAAAATAAGAAAAAAGGGCGCTAATCGCAAAAGTTTTGGCTGCAGCTTTCTTAATACTCCATATATTTGGTCAAAATTATTTTTGCGATTAGACTTTTTTTTTAAGTGGGTGAAAAAAATGCTCCGATTCAATAAACGATCAATATGAAGACATACCTACTCCTCTAAAACAGGTGGTTTGAAGGAAAAATAAGAAAACATGTCGCTGATCGTAAGAGTTTTTGCCACAGTTTTTTTTTAAGACCCTATGTCCTCAGTCCCGAGAATTTTTTTTGTAAAAATTTTTGTAATTGACTACTAGAATATATACACTTTTTGAAAAATATCAAAAAGGCGAAAATATGTCGTTTTCGATCCGAGGGAGATTTTGCAACGAAGATCATGAAAATTGAATAACTTAAGAGTTATGGCTCATCCAGATCCCAAGAGCTTTCGTCTAAAGCAAATCCGAGGTAAATCGGTCGAATAGTGGTTGATATCGAAGGAGGACAAATTGCCAAGTGGCAAAATCGAAATAAGTGCCCATCAATCCCAGGTAAATTTTGCAACGTCGGTCATGCAGATGGAAAAACCGAGGGATGTTGGTACATTTAAAGACTAAGAGCTTTCAGTAGTAAAAATTCGAGGTAAATTGGTCCAATAGTTGCCAAGATTGAAGGAGGACAAACTCTTAGCGGTCGGAGAGACGAACATATTTCGTTAACAATTCGAAGTAAATTTTGCAACGTCGGTCACGCAGATCGAAAAACCGAGGAGTAGTGGCACATTTAGCGGCTAAGAGTTTTTA